AAGTCCTTTCACTTTTTTTCTTTACTGTTTAACCATATAACAGAGATAATAAAGAAAGATTTTGGATACAGGATCCCAAATTGTACCATCCTATTTCTATTTTCTTTCTATTGTTGAAGCTGATGTAGCTGTTAAGTCTCAGTTTGCTTTCTAGATATTTCAAAAGGTGTGAGGACTAGACCCATCTCACAGTTTCCAATGTAGGTATGAACAATTCACCATTTTTACAGGTTAAATAATACAGCTATGCTTTGTTCTTGTGGAAAAAAACACAAAGAAAAGGAAATTAACTTTTCTATTGCTGAAAAAAATCATGTTCTCACCACAAACACACAAAACAAAGTAATTCCTGGTTAGCCTGAAATATCATGCCTGGCACTGCTGATTTTTTTCTTAGAGGAAAAGTTGGTATCTTCTTCTACATCTATAGAATTAATAATCAGTTCAGCCACAAATGGAGGGTTATTCACGTGAAGGCGATGAGAAAGATCTTCCTGAAAAGTTCTTGAAAAGTAGATGAAAAGTAGATGGCTATGTGAACTCACTTTGTAGTAGTGCAGATAAAGCAAACTACTTTTCACTATTTCCTAGATTAGAGAGTATATAAATATATTCACAAGAAAAAAAAAAAAAAAACGTATCAAACCTTTAATATTTTTAAATATAGTAACATCTAGTGGAACACTAGCAGTCCAGTTTGATAATGACCGTGCAAGTAATAATGTATGATAGCCATCACAAGTAAATAGCTAAGACAAACATAAATGTAAAGAGGGAATACTAAGAGTCACAGAGAGCTAAAATGGTGTGCCAGAAACAGACACCAGGATCTGTGGATGCCTGTTCCCTCTGCCATATACCATTTTACTTTCCATATAAGTTACATCTTAACACTTGCTGTAACATTTAATATATTGAGCATACTGTAATAAGAAATGCCTGTGTGATCTACAGTTCAAGTGACAATGGAGACTTTTTTTAGCCCTGTAGGATAAAAACTATTCTCTGTGGTTTTTGTAATGCATCAGTATCAAAAAAGCCAGCATGAAAAAACTGAATGATCTCAGGAGCAGTCCTATACAGTTATAATGGGTTTACATTCAATTGTCTGTAACAATTGCTTGTCATTAAATGGTAACGATTTGGAGGTACTGGGAAAGAATACTGGATCACAGGGAGCCAGGTTTTTATTAACCAAAAGGAAAGAAAGGATTCATTCATTTACCTTTTCCATTGTTGATGTTCATTGGGTGAATGTGGCAAATGGCCACTGTGTATGACAGCACCCCATGAAGGAGGGAGCTTTTTACCCCCATCTGTGTTTGAACAGAGCTCCAGAAAAAGGATGACAAGGGATAATTTTTTCTCCCTAGAGCTGGGCACCCTGTGTGCACCTCACACCTGAATGGGACTGCGGCACAGGAGCCAGTTTCTGATCCTCCAACAGAGAAGAGGAGACATTGAAGAAATTTTAAGAAACCAACCCAGAATGGGGATGTGCTTGTGTGTTTATATGCATTCATTTAAAAAGAAATTTACGCTGTCCCTCACTATTTGCCTTCTTTTTGGTCTATGGTGTCTGCTCTTATTTTGAGCTCTTTGAGTAAGGGGCTGTTTTCCACTTTCAGTGATGTAGTACAAAAAAAGTTCCCATCACCTTTTTTTTCCTGTGTATCCACTAGGTACCAGTGCCAGGTTCTCCCTCTCATTTTTCTGCACTCACCCAGCAGCCTTTCTTCTTGGAGTGGCAGCAGGACCATAACTGCAGTATGCATCGTGCTTCTTATGGCGTTGCCCAACAGTCATTTGCTGTAGCATCCTGCACTTTGTTGTTCTGCAAACAGCATCAGGCCACTCTGGATGAGAAATGTCATGACCAGTTTATAAGGGCCATGCGTCTGCAATACTGTGCTTTTAGGGAATAACCTAGATATAGTCCTCACTGTTCTGGGTGTAATATGGATAAATGCCCTGTCTGGCAGAACCATATAGTCAGAGGAGGAATAAGAAGTAGCACTGCTCTTCTTTTACAAGTGAGAACTGAGGCGCAGTTTCTTCTCCACCAAGATCAAAATGAACATCTGTGACATGTAAAAGAAACAAATCTCAGAATAACAAGTCTGAGACACTTCGTTCTTATGGGGGATAGCTGAGATACATGAAATGGGCTTTTTAGTGTATTTGACCTTATTCTTTCCCAGCAGTAAGGCCTCAGTGTGTTACACATTTTTGAATGATACGTTAAATTCAGGTGATTTACCTTTCGTCTTTTTTTAATTTCTTTCTTTTTTTTTTTTTTTTTTGGGAAGGTAGTAATTAAAAATTAAGCATTACAAAGCATATTTTTGCAATTAATTTGACACAATACTTTTGAAGTTCATGAATCTATTATGTCTTGGGCACTGTCTAGTGTATTAGACAACAGTAGTGATTTACATTATTTTGAAGTCGCAAGTAAGTTTTTAAGGGTAATGGATTTTATAGAGAGAGATAAAAAGATAACATTCCTTCATTTATGCCTGCTCACTTCTCATCCCTATCATACTACATTTAGCAAAATGGATAAAGCAGAAAGAATGGTGGTGTATTTTTATGTTAATTAATGTATTTTAATTTCAAATAGCAGTTTTGAAGCTCAGATAGCTTCCAAAAAAGTGGTGCCAGGGCAAAACTGATGAATTTTAATTCTTTTCAGTATACTTCTGCTTTCATGAATTCTTTTTGTTATATCCTGATGTATGAGAATGCATCAGTAGGCATTCAGAGCATGCAGCCCACAGATCTGATTTTTACAGAAATCCAGTTTAACTTTTTTAGCTACACAATAAAGCTCACCTCATAAGCATGTTATTTTTATTGACCAATTTGGTAATAGCTGGAAAAATACATACTTGCGGAAGGTGGACCAACTTTTTAAAGATTTTTTTAAAGCAACACATTGTAAGCAACAAGTAATCTTTCTGCACAAAGGATGTCTTTAACTGTTTTGTAGCTAAATCATGGTATTCTCAGACAAATCTTAAGTGTGTGCCACCCTTGTCCCAGAAGGGCTGCAGCTAATAACTTACTCTTGCTGCAGTTACATTACTTAAACAGTACAATGCATCACTTAGGTAGTTAAACTCTGAAACTTCCTTGGATTAACCGTTCTCTTCTACATCTTGGAGTGCCTTAGAAGACTCTCAGCTCCTTGGAAGCGCAGTTTTGGCCATGGTGATGTAAAACAAAAATCTCGGTGGACACCACAGCATGCCCACAGCTGCTGGAGCTGGTCTGGTGACTATATTCTAGTGTTAATGGTGAGAGGCACAAGAAACAGCCTTTTTAAACAGCACGGCTGATGTATTACACTGCTCTAATCCCAAATGATTTTAATAACTGTTCTTAGCTCACGGCCCACCAGGCAGAGCTCCACTGGCCAAATACTGGCCTGCTGTAATTTACTTGCTCATGCTGTCAAGAATAGGGCACAGTAAGTCAGTTCTGTTCTTTGTGTAACACTTGACATAGCAGAAATATAAAATCAATGATGTTGAGAGGGATTGTTGTTACTCATCAGAACAGACCATGAAATGATACTTCTTTTTACTTCCAGAACTGTACCATACCTGCGTGCTTGTATAAAGCAGCAACACTGGCCATAATTTACTGCATTGCAGTAAAATCAACAATGCAGCATTCTGCAGAGCCAGGCAAATACTTGATTTGCTAGGTGAATAGAGAGAGAAAAAATGCTCCCCCAAAATATTTTTAATCATGTTACTATATTACTTGTTTGTAACGCTCCAAAACCTTCACTGTGTAACTAAACACTGGTACCTCCTGAAACCAAAACGTTGTTCTGAAACCTGATTTGAAACCATTTCTTTTACAAGTAATGAAGTGAATCACACTGATTTTCTGAGATTTTCTTTTGGGGGGAGGGAAAAAAGAACAATTTGAGAAGTTAACAATAATTCATAGGTAAGTTCCAGCTGAGCAGAAACCAAATTTCAAAGTAAAAATATTAGATGTAACAGAAAAAGCATCTAATTCTATCTAAGAGAAACTTCCTATAGCTAGACAGAAAATAAAGAAATTTTCTATGGCTGAGAGTAAACACAAACTTAGGATACTGCTGTCGAGTTATATAGGGCCATAGTGATATTTTTTTTAATTAGGAAAAAATACATTGTTGAAGATATCACAGCTTGGGAAAGGTAGAAGTTGTCAACAGGCTTTTTTTTTTTTTTTTTTTTTTTCTTCCCCCTATGAAAACTTGACCCATTATAAACATTTTTCTCGTCTGTTTACAATTTACAACACTAAACTTCTGGTAAAACTATGTTTTTTCCCCAGGTCTTCTTGAACTGATACTGTTATAGATTGTTATTTTGTTCAGTAAAATTTTGAACACTGAATAAATACCATTTTTTTCTAATTAAATGATGATAAAAGGAATTGTTTTAGTATTGAAATAATTTACTCTTGGGATAAGTTTGCAGTCTGTTGTTCCTATCTGAAACATGAAGATAAGAAAGTTCATCATCTCAGTTTAGTGGCAGTCTTCATAACTGTTGAATATGTATGAAGAATGAAGATGAATGCATGCTTGTTTTAACTTAATCAAGCACTCAGTACAGAAAGTGGTAGGCTTTGTAGTTTCATTTATACTCCAAGATTTCATAAGTTAGTCAAATAAAATTTAAGTTTCTAAATTTCCTTAAAAGCCAAAAAATGAGTTATCTGCATGAAAAGTGTACAAATTAAAATCACAGTCTGATATGGCCAATGGGAGATTTCCTTCAAGAATAAAAGACCTTTTATACAGAATATCACCACTATAAATTTCAATATGAACAACACATGAATTTGCAAGTTTGAAATACATGCAAATAGAGGATTGAAAAATGTAAAATAGAAACCTTAACCAAAGATGTTTTGGTTTAGGGCAGACTATGTGAAATAACTTTTATCAGTTAACCACTGCACTATATAGTAACTTTACATTATCGTTCTAGGTACCTGGGAATAACGAGACCTCTTACATACCCTGTAAGGCAGAATGGGAAGTGCATGGCCAAAATGATCCTGTGTGTATGGCTCTTATCTGCCTCTATCACTATACCCCCACTCTTCGGTTGGGCCCAAAATGTAAATGATGAAAAGGTTTGTTTGATCAGTCAAGACTTTGGCTACACCATTTACTCCACAGCAGTTGCATTTTATATTCCAATGTCAGTGATGCTTTTCATGTACTATCAGATTTACAAAGCTGCCAAGAGGAGTGCTGCTAAACACAAGTTTGCTGGTTTTCCCCGGCCAGAAGAAATGGAAGGGATTTCTATGAATGGAGTTGTAAAACTGCACAAGGAATCTGAAGAATGTACTAATTTTTCACGGCTCCTAAAACACGATAAGAAAAACATTTCCATCTTTAAAAGAGAACAGAAAGCTGCCACTACGCTTGGGATTATTGTTGGGGCTTTCACTGTCTGCTGGCTGCCCTTCTTCCTTCTCTCAACTGCCAGGCCCTTCATCTGTGGTACAGCATGCAGCTGTATCCCACTGTGGGTTGAGAGAACATTTCTATGGTTGGGTTATGCAAACTCTCTCATTAACCCTTTTATATATGCCTTCTTCAATCGGGACTTGAGGACAACTTATCGCAATCTCCTGCAATGCAGATATAGGAATATCAACCGGAAACTATCAGCTGCAGGGATGCATGAGGCTCTGAAGCTTGCAGAAAAGCCAGAATTTGTTCTGTAAGGTCACTCATCCTTTATTATGATAATTTATTGTTTTATCATATTAGCTTTTCCCCCACAGATTTGAAAGAAGAGTTATAGGAAGAATCAGGCTTCTTGAGCACTGTTAATGCAGTCATCAAGAAACTGGAAGGTAGCAAGGTTAATTCTTCTACAGCCCACTGGTCCTATCAAGCCTGGAGAAACAAGACCACCATCTAAAGAATTTGTGTGCAAGAGGAATACCTGAAAGGGGGAGGGTAAAAGGTGGTGCAGGATCTTTGGGTTGCTAGTGAGGAATGAGCAAACTTGGCCTAATCCATTCATTTGGTCCTTGGCCCCAAATGACTTTTAATAGGTCTGAATGTTGGATACATCTTGTATCCTAGAGATTTTTTTCTGTAATAAACACCTGAGAATGGTGAAAAGTTCAGTATAATTCATTGCTTTCAACTTTGTTTTTATAAAACTAAACCATTTAAGAAGAAGCTGGATCAAAGAACTAACATTGCTTAGAAAAACTCTTTATTATAAAAAAAACATACGTCCATTAAATGTTAATTTACTGGATTACCTGGAAGTAAACTACTTTGTGAAATTTAATGTTGCCTTTGCATAGCAACTATGGCACTGAAAGAATATGTTACACTTCCAATGTGAATATAAGGGTTTGAGTAAAGTCACACAGACCGACATATACTGCTGCATACAGTCATGCAGCACGATTAGTTGCAGTGCTGCTATGCCAATTACACCAGGTAAGGATCCTGTCCTGTATTTTTAACATAACAAATATGTCTGATTACAGTTTATTTCAGGAGCTGTCTGGTCTTTGTCTGTCTTTTCTTTCTTTAATTCTCTTGGCTTTATCAGTTGAGCCCTTCTCTAATCTAGATAAAGACCCTGTCTGTGCTCAAGTTGTTTCTGCTGATGTATGGCTAGTCCTTGTTCCACACCTCAGTAGTTAATTTATTGTCTATTTGAAAGCTTCTCTAGCTTCTTGGGATTTCTTTTCTTTCTGAAGTCAGTAAGTTAAAAATAAATATAAGACTTTTTGACATTCAGAGACAACTAGACTTTATTCTTACAAACTGATTTTGGTCATCACTTCTGCTTAAAAATTATTTAAAGCTTTACTTTGTGTTTCTAGTTCTAGTTGTTTTCCCCACCACTGCCGCTCATCCAAATATGTGATTCTACTTCTCCTGACTTTGGTAACAGAGCTGTTCCCTCAGTGGAGCGGGGTTGGATATTATAACAATATTTGCATTTAAAATTTATTAATAATAAATGCATTAATTTTATTAGTAGCACTGTATTAATATAAAATGCACTGATTGTGTAATATATTACTATAATAAACTAAAATAATAATAAACTTAAAACAACACATAAGAACAAGATGCTTTTTCCGGCCCGAGTTTGCACTGCACACCATGTTCCAGATGAAGCACAGGGTGCATTAGTGAATGAAGACTGTTTCAGAGCTTGATCTACTTTTTCAGATACCAGGACATTGATGAGGAGACACGTTCATTATCAAATTGCCTCAGCAGCAAATCACATTTTAGGCTAACTTCTGTCCCCACTTTCTCAAGTGTGAAGCCAAAATGGCTTAAAAGAATTCAGTGATGTGAATTTGGACTAAGTAGTGAGAAGTTTGTGTCAGAACCCATGTTCAAAGCATACAGACATCATTGGAAACACTTTGGCTTCTAAGCGGCAGATACGCAACAAGATCTGGATTATGTGCTGAGCTATGTGTACTGAA